CCTCCATCTCCTCCTCCTCCATCTCCTCCTCCTCCATCTCCTCCTCCTCCTCCATCTCCTCCTCCTCCTCCATCTCCTCCTCCTCCATCTCCTCCTCCTCCATCTCCTCCTCCTCCATCTCCTCCTCCTCCATCTCCTCCTCCATCTCCTCCTCCATCTCCTCCCCATCTCCTCCTCCTCCATCCTCCTCCTCCTCCTCCTCCTCCATCTCCTCCTCCATCTCCTCCTCCTCCATCTTCTCCTCCTCCATCTCCTCCTCCTCCTCCATGTCCTCCTCCTCCATCTCCTCCTCCTCCTCCATGTCCTCCTCCTCCATCTCCTCCTCCTCCTCCATCTCCTCCTCCTCCATCTCCTCCTCCTCCATCTCTTCCTCCTCCATCTCCTCCTCCTCCTCCATCTCCTCCTCCTCCTGCTCCTCCTCCTCCATCTCCTCCTCCATCTCCTCCTCCATCTCCTCCTCCTCCATCTCCTCCTCCTCCATCTCCTCCTCCTCCTCCATCTCCTCCTCCTCCATCTCCTCCTCCTCCATCTCCTCCTCCTCCATCTCCTCCTCCTCCATCTCCTCCTCCTCCATCTCCTCCTCCTCCATCTCCTCCTCCTCCATCTCCTCCTCCATCTCCTCCTCGTCCATCTTCTCCTCCATCTCCTCCTCTTCCTCTTCCTCCTCTCTTCTACTTTCTAAATATGACTTATTGCACTTAAAATCATGGTCTCCGATTTCACGCATTTCCCTACAAAATGTCTGATTTTTCACGGTGGAACACTGCATGGTGTTTATGTACACAGCACATTTTCTCGATCCCCTTACCCACTGCTGGCCCCCTCGCTGAGTCTAAGCCTATGCTACGTGAATGGAGCACTCAGAGCATGGTACGCAGCTGTCTGTGGCATGCTAATGTGGACTCCTCCGGGAATGTACCTGCGGACACAGCTGGGTCTCATGGTAGCTTTGATTTTCATTTTGAGGAACCTCTGCCCTGATTTTGGTGTCGGGGACCTCTGTCCTGATGTCTGCAGCAGCTGGACACGTTCCCATCAACAGTGTGGAAGACTCCTCTTTCCCAGCATCCTGCCGGGATTGGTTATTTTTTGTGCGCTTGGTGAGGACCGTTCTGACTGTGGTGAGGTAAACTCTCCACGCAGTTTCTATTTGTATTCTCCGAGTGCCTAAAGATAGCAACAGTATTCGCTATGGTTACTGACCCTGAACTTGGAGAACAGTTATTCAGTTGACACACCTCCTCAGTGACTGGAGTTTTGTTCTGTTCTCTCTCAGTTCTGGTAGTCGAACCCAGGCCTTCACACGGGCTGCATGCCTTTTTACATTATTTATTTTGCTTTAGAGGTTTGCCAAATCCCTGTGTATCTCAGACTTGCAACTCTCCTGCCTCAGCCTCTGAGAGGTGCTAGGATCACAGATCGAGTGCACCACCATGCCCGGTGAATCGCTTATTTTTGTGACAAGCTTTTGAGTTTGTTTATTTCGGAACACGGTTTGGATAGTAATCGTGAGAATGAACACAGCCCGGGCAGGGGCGTCCTTGCAGGGGTCCCTCTCTGGGACTCGGACGTCCGAGAGCCCTTACCTCACAGCTGGCCCCGAGCGTCAGCAACCTTCAGGTCTGTAGCGTTCTGACACGGGAACACACTGCCTGTCCATTCTCAACCTCGAGCAGTGTTAGAAATGGGCTTAGGGTTAGAAATGTAAGTTTTTACAATTACCTCTGCATTCAGATAGCGTCTACATTTTCTCACCTTGTATCCTTGTTTCCTGAGTCATTTTATACCAGCCTGGACATGTACTTTACCTACATCTCTCCGCTTCAGGCCATGATAGCAGCTTCTGTCGGGTTCCGTTTAATCTTTCTTCCTGTCTGTCCTGAGCCAGGGTCTCGCTGTGTAGTTCACACTGACTTTAAACTCACTGTGTGGCTCAGGCTGGCCTGGAACTCACAGCGATCCTCCTGCCTCAGCCTCCCCCGTCTTCTAGATAGCATCCTTGCGTTCTGGCTGCCTAATATTCTCAAAGTCATGCTGTATTTTCTCTTCCCTATTTTCTTTTATTGAGGATAAACCTGTCCGTGGATCTCTCAGCCTTGACATAGATCTGCCCTGCTGCACCCCAGCACAGCAGGGTTGGCTCTGGGGTCCCCCCTGCTTATCCAGAGCTCTGTCAGGCCACAGCCCGGGATTCACACACGCAGCGCGGCTGCAGAGCGGCCAGCCCTAACTCTCATAAGCACAAATAAGCAAAGCTGGCGTCCGGCACAGCCCCCAGGCCCCACGGCTCGCAGGCAGAGGGCTGCTCCCAGGTACTTATGTCTGTGGGCAGGCTCTGCCCCCTTTAATGTGACTGTGTCCTATACGTCTAATAGTCAGGTCCGTGCATCCTCCCCTTGGCTCACTTAAATGCATCTTTCACTTGTCAGGGAGGTTCTGCCTCCAGCCCGGAGACCCTCCTGCCTCAGCCTCCCCGTTAGCCGGGACTCCAGCCACGGGTCCCCCGCTCCGTTACCAGAGCCGGTTCTGAAATCCATCTTGGCATTTCCACACCTGTGTAGTGAGGGGTCCGTATGGCCCTACAGAGCTGCCCGGCACCCGAAGTACATTCTGATGCTGCTGCTGGACACTTAGTCCCTCGAGGGTCCATCCTGCGATGACACGGAGCAGCGACAGTGCCTGAAGTGTTGCTTATTCTACAAGGTCCTGCCAGCACCGTCACGTGACGCTCAGCATTTGGGACTGACCCCCTGTCCTCGGGGAAGTGCGCTGGCCTCACCCACGCTGCCAGGGAAGCCGTGGTTTGATTTTCCCGAAGACACTGTGCAGGACTGGGACCCCCGAAGAAGTCTGGGTGTCTGAGTTGTGTCTGACTTTTGGGAGCTAAGGACAGAGTGACATTCTCACCACCATTGGGCTGTTCATTTGCACTGTGCTGCTGTTAATTCCCATGTCACTCAGGAGGCTGAGGCAGGAGGGTTCCTGAGGTTGAGGCCAGCCTGGCTACAGAGTGAGCTCAAGGCCAGTCTGGACTTCAGAAAAAGATTAGAAAATGGAAAGGAAAAAGAGAAACAGCTGTACTGAGTTAGCAAAGTCACCCTGTACCACCCTGTAATCCTGTGTCTCCTTGCCTAAAATACAGCTTGGTGTATTCACAAATTGGCTTCTCTTTTTAGCCTGCCTGTGTGTGACTGGTCTCTCCGTGTGGCTTTTCCTGTAGCATTACGATAGCGCCCTGATGAATCCAATCCTGGCGTGTTTCTCTGTCTTCCAGATATAACCCACAGTTGATCTGTGACTGTTGCTCCTACATTGCAGTCTGTTCATGGTATTCATCCGGTGCACCATAAACTGCTCTCCTGGGGTGCCTGGAGACAAGCCTTATTTATATTTTATTTAGGTTTTTTCAAACTTCTTGGACTTTATCATGAAGGTTTTCTCCTAATTTGCAAACATTTTCAGGTATTTGTCGTTGGTTTATCTTTTGTTGTTGTTGTTTTGGGGTTTTTTGTCTTTTTGAGGCAGGGTCTGTATGTAATCCAAGGTGACCTTGAGCTCACTGTGCAGCCCAGGCTGGTCTCGAACTTGCAACGATCCTCCTGCCTCAGCCTCCCCAGTGCCGGGATATAAACATTGGGTTTTCTCCCTCTCTTTCTCCTGGGGACCCCATCAGGTCACACATCCCTCAAGTCTCCAAACTCATTTTTAAAATCTATCTACACGACAATGCGCAATGTAGGATTGCTGCGCCCTGACTGACATGCTTTCAAATTTTATTTTCCGTTTTTTCTTTAATTTTTTTTCTCTTAGAAATAAAATGGACTTGAAGAAAAAAATGAAAACAAATCTGCCCACACTTCCCTTGAGCCGGGGACCCCGAGGCTGCGTCTCTGCGATTCTTTGAATAAAAGACCCCTGACACGCTCAGAATCCGTTCTTGTGTTTCTCTGTTTTGTTCTTTTCTGTACAGCAGCTCACCTGATGAAGAGCCACGTCCCCTCTCAGACGATATGTGCTTCAGCCCACATTTTTAACACCAGCCTTCGAAGCTGGTGTGGTGGTTACAGCCCGTCGGTCACCGCGGGGCAGACTTTGCAGCTGGGTTTTTATGTCCACGTTGCTTGGTCCACTCATGTGTGTTTGCAGAAGGCCACCAGCGGGAGCTATTTACCTCCCCAAGTTCTGGAGGCTGGAGGTCCAGGATCAATGTCCTCAAAACAACTAGGACTAAAGGTACCACGTGTGTATTTATTTACTTATTTTTTGGTACCAGGGATGGAACTCGTGACCTCACGCTTGCCAGGCAGGCACTTACACGGCTGAGCTACACCCTGGGCCCTCGAGGTACCATTTGATCCAGCACCCACTTCTGGGTGTCTGAACCGAAAGATACATTCACTCCTGTGTTGATAGGCACACACGTTGTAATAGCCGAATAGCCAGCCCAAGTGCCATCAGCCTGTGAATCTATAAAGATGTTTATTTTATTTTATTTTATTTTATTTTATTTTATTTTATTTTATTTTATCTTTCCGGTCCCAGGGATCTAACTCACGATCACGCACTTGCAAGGCAGGCGCTTATGCCTCTGAGCTAAATCCCCAGCCCCAAGATGTTTTTTTAATACAATGGAGCATAACTCTGCCTTAAACAAGATAATCTTGAGATTACATATATAATATTTTTTTTGGTACCAGGGATCAGACTCACGGATAATCTTGAGATCTTTGTACGTACACGGATGCACCCTGAGATCACAGGACACACGTGTGTGCAAATACTGCACAGTTTCTGTGGTGTGGAACTACACAAGTGTATGTAAGGGCAAAATGCACAGTAAGTATTGTGACACAGGAAGCAAATGTTCAAATGGGGAGTGTACAGAGGAGGGCAGAGGGCAAACAGATGACTGTGAATTCGTTTTTTCTTTTGTCTTTTTGAGACAGGCTCTCGCTATGCAGTCCAGTCTGGCCTTGAGCTCACTGTGTAGCCAGGGTTGTCTGGAGCTCACAGAGATCCTCCTGCCTCGGCCTCCCCAGTGCTAGGATTACAGGCGTATGCCCCATGCCCGGTGACACTGTCTATTAATAACACCTGGCCCTGCATTTAGCACCTCTTTTTTGGGGGGTATAAAAACCCTTTTATAAGGTCGTTTTTAAACAAAAGAGAAAAAACTTTACAAAAAACATACAGAAAAAGAATAACTTGCTTCATGTGTCCCCCAAAAGAGAACACAGGACAATGCCAACATGCTCAATGCAATTTTGGAAATACAGAACACAACCAAAGCATACACAGCAGTCCTGGGCACCCTCAATAACAGCAAAGCAGGGGTTTGTTTTTTCTGTCTACGCAGATACACACAGACTGAGCTATGTACACATTCAGTATCACCAAAGAGCATGGCACGATTCGACCCATAAATGTCGCGCCTACAATTCACAGACCCGGTCAGCAAGACCAAGCTGGCTGCCACCCTATTTCATTTAAAGTAAAGAAAACATTTTTTACATTCAAACAGGAACTCCCTTCGAACCGCCCTGCAGGTTCAGGCTGTTACAGAACAGAAGGATGCTCACCCGCTGCCGTCTGCCCGGGGGTCTGGCCATGCTAGAAAAAATGCACATCCAGAGGCACACCAGCTTAGCAGCGCTCTGATTCACAAGCCCTGTAACAAATACTTCAGGAAGAGAAGCAGAATATAGTCCCTCACTTTGGAAGATGACGGTTTAATTTGCTGGACAAATCCAGACACACACCCAGACACACGGCCACACCGTGCGTGCTCCACGGGACTTTACACAGGCTGCCCCAGGGCACGAGCCCGCACCCCATCAGAAAGGGGTGGGGAAATCCCTGTGCCCCCCATAATCTCACACACAGGTAGGCACTGGGGGTTTTCCAGTGGTGCTCATTACAGCGGGCGCCACTGTAGGTCTCATGAATTAGGCTTTGAAGTGTAGATTACATATTTGATATTCAAAACGAATTATGTGTGAGTTTATCCCAGACAAAGGAAAAATGAGGTTTCTAGGGACAAGATGGTTTGGGGTCCCCTTCTCAAACAAGCAGCTCTAATTCCACTTCCCCCGGGAGAGAAAAGCTCCAGGTTTTTAGTCTTTTTTGGGGGGCACCAGGGACCGAACTCGCAACCTGGCACTTGCCAGGCAGGTGCTTATGCGGCTGAGCTAAGTCCCCGGCCCTAAGTGCAGGTTTGAGTATTTCTCTTCCCCGATCCTTGGCAGGATCGTGCATTACCGTGAAGGTCTCGGTATAAACTCCTTTGCAAAATCCCTGCCGCTGCAGGCAGAGCACCAGAGCCACACGGCCGGCCGGCCGCAGGGTCTTTCAGGGAGCCTGGCCCCCTCCTCCTGGGTCCAGTTCTGCTCGGCCAACTCCCAAACGAAACACCTCAAAGTGGCTTTTTAAAAAAGAAAAAAAGCAGTATTGCATCCCCAGCTGCACCCTGGCATCCACTTGTTAGTTAAGAGCTCGCTGTGAAAACTGTTTTGCACGGAGTGTCGGCCTGGCTTCCCTTGACCGGATCCGTGAGCATCCCGAATGTCTCCAGGCCACAAGCTCAGTCTCCACCCAGATTTACTCCCTGTGGGCAGGAGGAGTCGGGACCACTGTGGGGAAATCACCGTTCAAAGCCCCTTCGAGAACACACTGACCGCACTGCCCTCCAGGGCCAGGATCTCCGTCCACTGTGTCCTCCTCGGGAAAGGCTGAGACGCCCAGAGGAGCTCAGTCCTCGGACACACGCACCCCGGCACCTCCAAAGCCAGCCGGGCCCCGCTTCCTGACGGTGCCACTCACCACCGCTCCATGCAGCTGCCCAGCTCCTGTGTCCAGCTGAGTCCCTGAACCCTCTTCCCACTTGCTTGCAGGATTTGAGGGAAGAACAGAGCCTTTGCAAAGAGTCTCTCAACAAGAAGGGGAATCAGACCACACAGCACAGCAGGGGTGATTACCTCAAGGCACACACACCACAGAGGTGTCAGCTGAGTTTACAAAGAGCTCCCCACATCTGCACAAAAGCATCTGCATAATAGCCAGGAAAAGCTCAAACTTCACCAGGATTGTAAGGCTTAAAATAACAAAGCATGGCCCACACACTGATGCCTTCTCCTGCAGGAAAGCGAATCTTTCTCTGTTAAAAACGGACACCTGAACTAAAGCACACAGACTAACCCTGGAGGCTGGCATTACAATACTGAGCACTGTAAATTCAAACATCACGTGAGATAATGAGCCAGCGGGCGTTCCATTCGAGCACTATTCTTGGTCATGAGCTAAAAACACTATTTGTTAACATACACAGTGCAACCAGGAAATTACTCTGACACTGACTGGTTTTTTTGGTAACAAAATCAAAGTTAAGAATATTCCTTAAAGTGTCTTAAAAACCAGAGTCAAAATATTTTAAAAACTCTTTGTCAAAAAGCAAAAAACAAAACCCTTTGTCCTGGGGGTATCTGCAGGAAAGTCACATTGTCTAGGGAAAACATGTTGCTGCCACTTAAACACAAAAGAAAAGCATAGAAACAGGTTAATGATCACGCCTGTCATCCCCGCACTCGGGAGGCTGAGGCGGGAGGATCTCTGAGCTCGAGATCAGCCTGGGCTGCACAGTGAGCTGAGGCCGGCCTGTGGTGAGATTCTGTCTCTAAACCCCAGACAGACCCAAAAATAGACTATGGGGCAAGCAAATCTAGCCTAAAAGAATAAAAACATTTAAATTTCTCTAATTTTCCAATCTATTAACCTACTAGAACCTTAAAAAAGGAAAATGTTCCAGTCCCAAATGAAAACAGCATGGCTCATGGGACCTGAATAGAAATGAACAGCATAAAACAATTCCAATTCTGTTTTCATAACGGAAAAGTCTCTACCGTGCGTGACTGGGTTTCACATTAGCTGGGGCTTTTATTCACGTAAAACCCAACCACTGCCAGCTTGAAAAGAAGCCCACCATGCTGCATAGGTCCCCCAGGCCTTTCACGTTCTAGGGCTTTTTTCTTTTTCTTTTATCCTTGGTAAAAATTTTTTTTTTCTTTTTGAGACGGGGTCTTGCTATGTAGTCCAGGCTGGCCTTGAGCTCACTTTGTAGCCCCGGCTGGTCTCGAATTTGTAATGATCCTCCTGCCTCAGCCTCCCGAGTGCTGGGATTACAGCCATCCTTGGTAAAACTTTATCCACAAACAGAACGCTTTTTTTTCCAGTACCAGGGATCGAACTCACAACCTTGAGCTTGCCAGATGGGCAATTTCACCGCTGAGCTAATCCTCAGCCCCCAGAATACTTGTTTTTAAAACATGACCCTTTAGAAGATAAAGTACAGAACGGAGAGTGATTTCAGTGTTGGCGGCCCCTGTGTTCTCAAAGGTCCTGAAAGGCCAGGGTGTGCAAGGGTCCTGGGCTCCAGACCGCTCTGAGATAAACAATGAAATAAAAATGAAAACCCGCACCCCAGACATGGTCGGTGTCCCCCCACTCCACACCTCCCCACACAGTACAAAATATGAGTCCTTCCAGTGACAACTCAGAAGCCACCTTGTCTCCTACCAGCCTCGTCAGTGGGAACTGAGAGTCCTGATTTCTTTTAGGCATTTATACTTAACTTTGTATATGTATAAACTCATGTTAGGTGACCACTGATTTTTAGACGTCCAGGCAGAGAAACAAGCAATACGTATCGCATAATTATTTTAACAAATCCTCCTCCTCCACCTCCTCCTCCTCTGTCTCCTCATCGTCCTCCATCTCCTCCTCCTCCATTTCCTCCTCCTCCATCTCCTCCATATCCTCCTCCTCATCTCCTCCTCCTCCATCTCCTCCTCCTCCATCTCCTCCTCCTCCATCTCCTCCTCCTCCATCTCCTCCTCCTCCATCTCCTCCTCCTCCATCTCCTCCTCCTCCATCTCCTC